ACTTTGGCTTTGACTCTCTCTCTCTCTCTCTCTATCTCTCTCTCTCTCTCTCCCTCTCTCTCTCTCTCTCTCTCTCTCTCTCTCTCTCTCTCTCTCTCTCTCTCTCTCTCTCTCTCTCTCTCTCTCTCTCTCTCTCTCTCTTTCTCTCTCTCTCTCTCTCTCTCTCTCTCTCTCTCTCTCTCTCTCTCTCTCTCTCTCTCTCTCTCTCTCTCTCTCTCTCTCTCTCTTCTCTCTCTCTCTCTCTCTCTCTCTCTCTCTCTCTCTCTCTCTCTCTCTCTCTCTCTCTCTCTCTCTCTCTCCCTCCCTCTCTCTCTGTCTGTCTTTCTCTCTCTCTCTCTGGATGGATGGTTACCCCGGCCATTCCTTGCACACAGGGGATAACTTAAAAGCAAAATGAAACAGACAGTGTGTCACACCAAGAAAATCCATTGTAACAAGTGGAATCAAACTAAACTTAAATAACTCTCTATCTATCTCTCGTCTCTCTCTCTCTGTCTCCTCTCTATCTTCTCTCTCTCTCTCTCTCTATCTATCTCTCTCCTCTCTCTCTCTCTCTCTCTCTCTCTCTCTCTCTCTCTCTCCTCTCTCTCTCTGCTCACTTATTCTCTCTCTCTCTATCTCTATATTCCTTTCTCTCTCTCTCCTTCGCGTTCTTACTCTGTACCTATGAATCATCTCTGGGTTTCATGCTCCCAATTTATATTTTTCTTTCTTTTCTTTCCTTCTCTCTCTCTCCCTATCTATCTATCTATCTATCTATCTCTCCTCTCTCTCTCTCTCTCTCTCTCTCTCTCTCTCTTTCTTTCTCTCTCTCTCTCTCCGCCTCTCTTTCTCTCTCCTCTCCTCTCTCTCCTCTCTCTCTATCTCTCTTTCCCCTCTCTCTCTCTCTCCTCACATACTCTTTCTCTCTTTCTCCCTCCTCTCTCTCTCCTCACATACTCTTTCTCTCTCTCTCCCTCCTCTCTCTCTCTGTTCACTTATTCTCTCTCTCTCTCTCTCTCTCCGCCTCTCTCTCTCTTTCTGCCTTTCTCTCTGTCCGCCTCTCTCTCCCTCTCCTCTCCTCTCTCTCTATCTCCCCCCCCCCCTCTCTCTCTCTCTCTCTCTCTGTCTTTCTCTTTGTTTCTTTCTCTCTCTCTCTCTCTCTCTCCCTCTCTCTCTCTCTCTCTCTCTCTCTCTCTCTCTCTCTCTCTATATATATATATATATATATATATATATATATATATATATTTCTTTCGCTCTCTCTCTCTCTCTCTCTCTCTCTCTCTCTCTCTCTCTCTCTCTCTCTCTCTCTCTCTCTCTCTCTTCTTCTTCTTCTTCTTCTTCTTTTGTAACATCGACTGATCCATCCGTGAAGGGTGTTCTACTACCCGAAGGAGTGATGGCTACAATGACTCTCTTGGCTTCTGTCTTCTGCATGGGGTATTGATTCTTTCTCATTGACAGGCTCATGATAGAGAACTCTATCAAGGTTTGCGCCCACAGCGGGGCTTCGATTAAGTCAGGGTGGGGGGAGTCCATGCTCTTAGTAAGTAGCTGTTCTTTGAGCTGATAGCGTATCAACACACTGACTGTGTGAGACAGCCAGGAGTTCTTTGCAAAGAACTCGTTGTCTTGTTCTAGGCGTCTGACTATTTTTTGTCTTAGGCTTGTGTTCTTGGGAGCCTGGATGACCTTTGAAAGGAATTGTACTACCATTAGATCAATTTGTGAGTCCAGGGGGAACAGGTTTGCCTCCATGAGGAGGTTGAGGACCTTCGTGGTCCATCTTGGGGCACCCAGAATGATCCTGGCAGCTTCATTTTGAACTGTCTCCAATTCATCTTTATATTTTTCTTTGTGGTAATCAGAGCCTATGTGTCTCCCAGTCATTGCTCTCATGACAGACAGTCTCGCTTTGGTTCAGTCAACCAGGTACTGGACCTCCTGGAAGGAGAGGGTCAGGTCAATCTTTACCCCAAGGTATTGAAGTCCTGGACCCACTCCAAGACCATTCCCTGGATTTTCAGACTTGTGCCTTGAACATTATGTCTCAGAGCCATGGCTTTTGATTTGGCAGCAGAGATCCTGTCCTACAACACTCCTCAGATACAAGGTTCAGACAATGCTGGACTTTATTTAGGCAGTATGGTCTAGTGGAGGTGATTGCAAGATCGTCTACATACACCTCCCAGGACATTAGGGGGTTGAATAGAGCTGGACTGAGAAAACCACCCTTTCTCTTTAGATGTACACCTGGACGTGGTCGGCTCTCTCCCAGCCGACCAGGGTTACAGCTACGTCCTGACGATGACTGACAGGTTCACCAGGTGGCCTGAGGCAACCCCATCCAGGATATCACTGCCGCCACCATTGCCAAGACCAGCAACACAAGGACTAGGCAGTCCTTAGCCGACTATGGAGCCTATCAGCTCCCCTGTAGATCTCCAACTTTAGTCTCCATCCCCCAGCCATACCTGTGGGCACTTATACCCACATAATCACTCCCCAAAGAGATAAGACACCAGTCCAAATAGTAGATGCAACAATACCATCTACTATACCGGTGACCCCAGAATGACCCGACACATGGAGTGGCACATCACGGTATATCGCTCTTTCGCTGAGCTCACTCTCTGAAGGGGGAGTACCTGTAGTAGTACGACCCCACAACCTGAAGTTCAGCGTGGTTTCCCAGGTTGGGTCACACCAAGTCCACTGCCATGTCCGCACTCATTGGACAGCGGGCTCCCTTCGTTCCCTGCGCACGTGTGCTTAACCCTTTACTTGACGCGATATACCATCAAACTTTTTCGCCGCTAATCTGTTTCATGGGAATATATACCATCGAAACTTCCATGGCTTATTATGCAGTTATGGCAAGTTATAAACAAATGCTGTACAACACCTCCGGTAGTCTCGGCCTTAA